CTCGTCTTCTTATATATATATATATATATATATATATGAGGTTTTTAAAAAAGTTAATTGGACGCCTCTCACATGTCTAAAACTTAATAGCGCTAATAAAAAACCAAGAGCAAAATAAAAATTTATAAAAATCATTTTTTCTTCTTCTTCTAAAAGGCCTGTTGGGAAAGCGTGTAAATCAAATCACAAAACTTCTGCATATAGGTATCCACAAACAGAGGCATGTATGGGTGACGGGTAATACGTGAGAGGTTCATTCGCAGACCTGTAAACGCGATTTTTGTGTTGCTGTCAATCCGATATATATTCTTAACGTACTGAATGTAAGCAAGAGTAAAAATGGCTCCACCTGAGAACATGACGGTGAAGAGCATGATAGCCTCCAGGGTTGCAGCATAGTTGGCAACCATGGCTCGCTCAGTTAAAATACTCTGAAGATACGATGAACAGAGGCGATACAGAGTCGGTGACATGTTTGATAGTGTTGTGTGATTCGCGGCCAGACTTACCGCACTATAGACTCCTAGTGAGCCCACCAGAAGCATCTGCGGCCCCACCCCGGAAAGTAAAGCAACGAGACAAAGCAACAATTCCAGTGTACAGCGGTGATCAGCCCATTTCAAGAGGGCTTCCTTAGACGCCCGAAGGAGACCTTGTGAGCTTGCAATGCTTGCCTGTTGCGCAACGGTCACCGTCATTAATGCCATCCACATATTTCCAGCTAGCTTGGGCATAAAAAACAGCGAAAACATGGTCAATACGGCGATTGCCACGGCGGCAACGTCGAGGCACACCCCTAGCTTCCCAGTGGAACTGGGAGGATACGTGGCACCGCCGCCCCCCAAGGAGCTTTGCAGCAATCGTAACAGTGTCTGTCGGCTCTGTTCGACACTTGGATTCCCGGGCGACAATGCTGCCGCACGTTCGTACTCCATTGAGGCTTCAGGGATTCGGTTTAAGGCCCACAGTGCTGCCCCCACACGTGTATGCGCCTTAAAGTTGTCGCGGACACACAAAGATCGTCTCGCGTAGGCAATGGCGTCATCATACTTCTCCAGCGCGTGACTGGCTGCCGCGGCGTTGTTAAGAAGATCAACATTGTCTGCGTCCAATGTAATGGCTTGCTCGTAAAGCGTCAGCGCCTCCTGGTAACGCCCTGCCGTAAAAGCAGTATTACCTTCCTTTCTCAGTTCCTCTGCTGAAGCCATAATGCACTTTCTCCAACTCACTTGTCCTTGTTTCTGCTGACAAACGATCTCTAACACGTGATTAAGTTTATAGCTTTACCTTTTTGGAGGGAAGTATACTCCAATAAAATTGGGAGAAAAAAAAGAGGTATACCAAAAAAAATAATAATATTAAGCACGTACATGAGTTTAGGTACAGTGCCTAACTGCAAAGGATCCATACATGCATACAAGTCCATGATGAAGAGACACAGAACCAAAATCCAACACTCTGGCACAAAGGTGTGAGAGAGCACAGAGCAAAAAAAAAAAAAAACTTCATCGCACCCATCCTACTACTTACACTCGCACAAATACTCGTGGCAAGAGAAAAAAAAAAAAAGCAACTACAACAAAAGGCGTAATAAATAAATATATAAAAAAAACAAAAAGAAACACGAGTCAAACAGGCGTGTGTAACAATATTACTGCACATGATATTCGAGTCAAACTCCACACACAGAGAGTTTATACCACTACATCGATCCCCTTTCGTAGACATCTCCACGTTCCTGCACGCCCTGTCGCAGCCGCAGTGCCTTATCCGCTGAAGCGCTTACAGCGACGAGCGGCCTTCGTCCAAAGACCTTGTTATAATTCTCCTCACGATTGAGAAGCTCTAGTCTATACATTTTCATATCACGCACCGCATTTTCCAGGGCCCACTCCTTCTGCTTTACCTCCTTCATGAGACGGTTGATCATCGCCACATCCTCTTCTCTTGACTCACGGTACTCGTAGCGGTACCGCAGATCATCAAGCGCCGCCTGCAGTTCCCGTATAGCATCGCCTTGTGCCCTTCGTTCTTCCTCGTGTTGCCGCATCAAGTCATCAACAATCTGTTTGTGCGCAGCCGCTACATTGTTCAAATGATTCTCGGTGAGACGCCGCTCCCGCTCCTGCTCATTTTCAAACTCGCATCGCTTCGCCTCCAAAGTGGCACTAAACTCACTACGATCCACTACCCTGCTGCTTTGCTCGCGTGCAAGTTCCTCCTTGGACTTCCGAAGATCGTGCATTGCTGCGTCTAGCTTCAGGTTCAAACTCTTCACCTCATCCTGCAGGTCGGCACACTTTTGCCGCAGGGCTGCAATCGCCTCATCTGCACGCAGTTGCATCGCATTACGTTCCGCCGTCAAGGCGTTTCGGAGCTCGGCCAAGGCGGCCTGCGTCTTCTGTGCATTCTTCGCCTCCATACTAGCGACATAGTCTTTGTGCAGCGCCTCCACCTCCCTTCTAGATCGATCGGATGCCTCCTCCAGGCGCTCCAGTGCCTGACGAACATCACGCTCCCGACCCTCCCACACCCGCACCTCCTTCTCCATCCTGGCATATCCCTCACGTGAGAACCGAAGCGCCTTATTACACTTTTCGAGCTCTTCTTGCAGTCGCCCACAATCGGCAGTGAGCTCCGAAATGTGGTTCTTCTTCGCCAATAGCTCGTCAGAAAAACGATTTGCCTGCTCCTTCGCACCATGCCGCACAGCCTCCATTTGCTCACGCGCCTGCCGCAGCTCCTCATCCCGTCGTCGCAATTCCTCATCACGCCCCTGCAAGTGTTTGGCAAACTCCGTCCGCGCCTTTTGGAGTTCCATGAATTCTGTCTCTTGCCTTTTATTGGCTGCCTCCAAGAGACTGCGAATCTCCTCCTTGTGTAGGGCGTCTATTTTTGCAATATTTGCATCGTGCAACTCGGTGTGTTGCTTCAGTTTGTCGATATGTTCCTGACGAAGTTGCTCCATAAGGCGCTTATACTGCTCCGCCTGTGTCCTGCATTTATCTTCCAAGTTTCGCTTCATCTCCTCTGTACCGAGCTGAAGCTGTCTGCGAAGCGATGCAATCTCCGCCTCAAGCAAACGCGTCTTTTCCATGTGTGCCTCGCGCTCAGCATCCAGCTTGGCGCTCATTACCGCCTCCATCTCCGAGATTTTCTGCGCAGTGTCAGAAATATTTGCCTCATATTTCCCCATCAAGTCGTTTTGTTGCCCAGCAGCCTTTTGCAGTGCATTCCGTGCGGTATCCAACTCTTGCTCAAGTCTGACGACCTGTTCCCGCAGCTGTGTCACGGTTGCACGCAGATCCTTACCGATGTTTTCAGCGCCTGCCAGCTGAACATAAAGGCCCGAGAGAATCTTTTCATGCTCACCCGTCAACTCTTCTATCCTCTTATTATGCTGCGCCTGCTGCCGTCGCAACTCCTCCACGTGAGAACTTATCAACTCCTCCCTTTCATGCAAGTACTGGGTCGCAAACACATCGCTTGACTTCTGTGACGTTGTGTGAAGTTCGGCAAGAACCGCCTCGTGCGTTGCTTGAAGCGCCGCGAGTTCTTCCTGATGTTTCTTGGCGAGTTCAGCAGCATGTTGTCGTAGCACTTCGCAGCGCTCTTCCAGGGAGAGTTCCGCCAGGCTGCGTCGCTGGATTTCTTGCTCTGCCTCCATCACCGCCTCCTGCAGTTCCAGCACGCGACGCTCAAGTGAATCCACATGAGCCATCAACACCTGGTTCTTTTTCCCAGCATCACTGGCGTTGTGCGACAGTTGATCTTGTTGTGTTTCCAAAAAACTCTTTTGATTTTCTAAGTCCGTTACGTCCGACAAGGCTCTGGCGAGCGCAGTTGTCTTCTCGTTCAGCGACCGCTCCAGTTTGTTACGTTCATCTTGCATTTCCTTTAAATGAACCTGCAACTCTTCCGCCTCCTGTCGCAGAGTAGCCTCGACAGCACGCGAGAGAGCAAGGGAGTTGTTCTCTGCATCAAGACGGCTACGCTGATTGTCACAGTCCCGCTGCAGCCGGTTTACTTCCGCCTCAAGAGAACTACAGGTTTCCTTCCACTGCTCCAATTCGGCTGACGTACGTGCAACAGCCTCGTTAGCATCATGTAATTTTTTCGACCACAGTTGTAGTTCATCTGTGTGGGCCGTGGCGGCAGCATCGAGCTGCAACTGCAGCTGGCAAGCTTTTTCTTCCAAGGCGTCTCTAGCATCCATTTGCTCCGCTAACATTGTCTTATATCGCTCGTTATATTCCCGTACCAGGTTTGCAATTTCCTCTTCCTTCATCGCCTTCAGCCTCTCCAGTTCCTCACCCTTTGCCGCGTACATCGACTCCGCTTCCGTGACCCTCGCCGCAGTTATCTTGGCCGCCTCCTCCTTCGCTTTCGTCTTCACCTCGGCTACCACCTCCTCAAAGCGCGCCTTGCTAGCAGAAAGTTCGTTCACCATGGAGGAAATATTTTGTGCGAATGCATCTTTTGCCCCCATAAGTTCCCTCTTGTACTCTTGCTGCATTGCCTCAATCGCGCTGTTCCGTTTCTCCTCATCCTCAAGAAATGCCTTCCGCACCTCATTCACATGCCCTTCTGCCTCCCTACGGACCGTACACAACTCCTCTTCGTGTTTTCGGCGCATCTCAGAATTCCTCGCGTCGTAGTCCTCATTCTGAGTGTTCAGTTGGTAGATAACCTTTGTGAGTTGGGCAATCTTCTTGCACATTTTGTAGTGCGTGTCACCACTGTCGCCACGCTTGCGGTTCATCTCCCCGTGAAGGCAACTTGATGTGAGACTAAACAAAACAACAAAAACAAAAAATAATGTGTATGCGCGATTGAAAAGAGTATTAGAGAGAAAGAGGGGTGTGGAAGGAAGAACAAGAAGCAAGACATATGCCTGAAAAGAAAGAAAATGTCATCCCATTCTACGCATCCCCAAATTTTTATTTCTCCTTTACACTCCACAGCATGTCATGCGTTTTTTTTTATTGATTGTAAGGAAACAGCAAGGCCGCTCAAGAGCCTTATCGCTAATTCAGACGCCTCCTCATTCCTGTTTTTTTTTCTTTTCCATCGCACCCTGCCACCCGTGACATGCATGCATTTAGACGGGCACCCATAGGAACTTTCAACGCCTCTTTCTCCTGCTTCACAATCCTGCCACCCTCACAGCGGAGCACACACATATACACACACACACACCTATAGACAAAAATCTGGCGAAAAATATATCCTTCATTACCATTACTCAAGGATTTTCTTGATGAACATATATATATATATATATATTATTCAACGCATGTCTGCATTATCGTTCCTTCCTTCTTCTTGCTGCTGTTTTTTGTTTTGTTTTAAGAAAAAAAGAACCTCCTCCCATGTTTGTTTTCCCTCCTTATTTTAGCGTTAGACCAGCTCCTTTTTTTCTGTGAATACAGAGGGCATTGTTCTGCGTGTGCCAGTGCCTCCTAGTCCAGCCAACTTGTCGGCACTTCTCCCCCACTCTCTCTCTCCTGTGGATCGTGAATGCGCACAGCCGGCGAGATAGCGGAGAGGGACGGAAATGCCTGAGCTACGCAGTAAAGATAAGCCCATGCTTTAGCGCGCCGGAACGGATGTTGTACTGGGCATTGTACATGCAGTTAATCTGATTTAGTCCACTGCGCTCACCGCCATAGGGCAACTCCACGGCCGCCTTTACTACGGAAAACCCGCTAAGCACGGCACTCATTGAGCCACCACCGATAAACTGTTTACGTAGGCCAAAACTTAACTGGCTTACCATTTCTTCTTCTTTTTGAGTGTGGTCAAGCTGCATAGCAAACTCAGCATCGTGAGCCCAATCTTTTTTTGTAAGCGCCAGCTTCCATTCGCCCTTACCTGGAGTCCATTCCCCAGACAAAGATCCTTTCTTTGATGGGGTTACGGCCATAAATCCGTGAGAAAGCGAGGTCCCCTTTGTCATAGAATCCCACGATAAACTGGAGCCAACATGCACCCCACGTACAATTCGTTGAGCATGACTCAGTGTTAATGATTGGTTCTTAACGTACTGTGCCAGAGTGCAGCCGCCGTAGACCCATGGATACTGAATCATCCCCACCACCGTGCCCTGAGTCATACCTTGCTGTTTCTGAGCCATGCACTGGGCGAGTAGTAGAGCACCCGTGCTGCTCACACGCTGGTACATCAGACTCCAGCGACTCAGTGTGTTGTAGGAAGCCGCTACAATATCGGAAAACCCATTCATTTGAAACCCCACTTCCCAGTGTGACATTTGTGGGGAAACAAGGACACACTTCGACGAAATCATCACATTTTGTGCATTACGCGCCAAATTAAGCGAAAGTCCCTCGTTTATTTCACCAAAGCTCCCTTCCATGAGGAGTCGCTGCACCCCACGAAACATGGATTCATAGCTGACCAATTTGGCCGGAGATGATGGGCCTTCCTTAGCGCTAGCAGCCAACTTCCTTCGAAGCATTTCCTCGCGTTGTGAGGCATCCTCTGCAGGTGAAGGCTCGAGTGGCGTTTCAGGGTCCACATCTAACGTCTTTCTCCGTACCGGTTTTTCCGGTGCGGCGGGTGCGTTATCAGACCTCCCTCGAAGCCATTCCATCAACATCTTGAAACGGCGGCGGGGAGTTTGCAAGTTTAGCCGGACCCACCGAACCTCCTTACTTGTGTATTACTGGGAACTAAACAATGCAGCGCAAAAAAGGAGAAAGCAAAAAAAAAAAAAATAGCAAGAGACAAATATATGCACATACATCCACGTGTAAATAAATAATAATATATGAACAGTGCCGCATGCCTCCCGTTCAGGGGTGCCTCGAGAAGCGAATACACCCAAGCCCCATTCCTCCATATATGTATGTATTTATGTTATTCTCTTTTCTTCGTTCTCCTGCTTTAAACCGCAATATATATATATATATCTATTTTTTGGAGGTCATTCCCTCTTCAAGGAAAAGTACAAAGAGGAAGGCAAGAAAGCAAAAAAAAAAAGAACAAACAACAACATCATACAGCGCTTGCTAAAAGTAACGCGGAGTGTGCGTAAGGTTCTTCGGATCCCCGTCCACCTGGACGTGCTTGAGCCCCGTAGCAACATGCACCTTCCCACATTAGTCGGCCTCCGCAAGGGCGGTCAGCCATTCCTCCACATCCTGGTCGGGGACCCGGCAAAAAGCGTGATTCTCCACACTGCAACGTCCCACCTCCACATCCGTCGCCTTTAGAGAGGCACCAAGAGCACTCTGGAGTGCGGCAAGTGCGACCATGGCGGCATCTTTTTGCGAGAGAGTATGGAATGGTGCATTTTTTTGCTTCTTTTCCAGGAATGCATTCGCCTCAATCTGCTTCTTACCAATCGCACACGCATGGTAACTGCCGCACCACCCTGCTGGATCTACGCAGTAAATTAGTGGAACCCACGACCCATCTGCATCGTTTTGCTCCATGCCAATAAATGTCATGATGACACCCATTAGTCGTAATCCGGCTTGCTGTGTCCTCACCTGTGCCATATCCGCCACACGCTTGGCGAGCACGCTAACAGGAATCGGGGAACCAAAGCGATATTTGTAGTCAGATGCTTCTTGGCGAGCTTTTTGCACCAACGCCTTACCGTCGGAGGCGCGTCCCGTGATGCATACACCAATGTCCTTGTTGATGTTGTGGAGAGAGGCAATAGTCTCGGGTCGCATCAGTCTGTCCGGCACATTATGTTGCGTAAAGACCAAAACAGCATCTTTGCAACGTATTGCGACTGTGAGCAGACCCGCGTACGTGACGGCCTTGAAGGCGTATTCCACCTGATAGAGAGACCCCTCTGGGCTGAACACCGTAATGTACTTGTCAAACCCTGCGCGACTCATTTTTTTTTCTTGGACTTCTTCTCACCCCTCGCGTAGTCGGTGATGAGTGGACGAGACAAATATAAATGCGTGTGTTTGTTCGCTTGTTTTTTTTTTTTGGGTTCTTAGTATTACGCGGAACTCTATCGAAGATGGTGGCCCGTGATTGGCAAGATAGAAGCATAAACACAAAAATATAATAATAATAATAATAAGGCGGAGAGAAGATTGCCAGTCAAAATGCTCCGACAACAAAAAAACACCGGCAAGAACCTGCAGAGTACAAAAAACACTGCAACGAGAAAGAGATGGCTTCACATGGACGTCGCAGAAACACTAAAAACAAACAGAAGAAAGGAAGAAAGAATGGAGGGCCGGGAACTCACAATGAGCAGAGAAAGGGCCCATATGCACAAGTGAAAGGCAAACGACACGTGCAAGCAATAATACAAAGGAAAGCGGACACACATACACACCGAACCAAATTCATTAACATGATAAAAAGTCCACACAAAAGGAAATAATGAAACTCCAAACGGAGTCCACCATATTCGAGTGAATCGTCGGAAAAGTGAGGCAACCATGGGGACAGCGATTAACGATCACCCTCAACAACACAAAAAAAGCGTGGGGTTGTTGGCAGATTGAACCCAAAGAAAGGGAGACAACAACATAAAAAAAAAAAAAAAACAAGACGGGAAAGAAAAATAGAAGCTGAGGCAGGTAACTTCACAAGTGGACATAGACATACCTGCCCACCTACGGACTGAAGCAGCACAGCCAAATTCTTCAACCATCACGGCCCCCAACAATCTGGAAAACAAGAGCAAAAGGAGGAGGGACGTGCTATAATTATATCATCGCTTTTCCCTCCCATCTGATTTGATGTACTAATAATACTCAACCATCCCTTCCACCACACCCTTGTTTCGAAAACTACATAAAAACAGAAAGTAGGAAGGTGAGAAGTGAAAACAGGGTGCAAAATTCAGCACAACCTGTTCCATGTATTGGGGGGGGGGGGGGGGCAGCATTTTGGGCACTTCCTTATTTTTTCCCAGCCAACCCATCAAAAGCTTCAGTTTAACCTCAAGCTATCTCATGTATGTTGCAAATCCCCCACAGGGGAGAAGACTGATATCGTCATGGTATTTTCCGGTGTCCCAAGCCTGCCTACAACTGGCATTTTCTCCTTGTTATGTAACTCGGCTAGAAGCTTTGATGGTTCCTGTGGGTATTCAGAAGATTTTGCTGTAGTCCGTATTTTTCCCACCCGCCGGACACTGCAGGGCGCTCCTGGAGCACACATACTTACATTGAGCCGGTTGGGGAAGGAGATGTTGCCCTCCTGAACCATTGTTAAAGAGGTGCTATCAGTATCTATCAGGATCCCCCCGTGACTCCCGGAAGAGGCCTCACTTTTTTGATCAAAAAAGAACCCGCCATTACGCTCTCGGATCTCAAGTATCGAATCAAGCCATCGGCAGACGGTGTTCGTCTTGGCAGGCGTAGAGTTCGTCATGTGCAACTCCACTCCTCGGTAGTCTGTAAAAACCGTGGATTCGCGGCTTGTAGCAGTAACAGCAACGGTGACGGCATCGTAGACATCATTTGCTCTGCCCTTTGAGCCTCGAGGCGAGGTTTCAGACACGGCACTTACCGGTACACGCTCCTTTCCCCTTTCTAACAAATTGCCGCGCTGCTCAGAATCCGTCTCAAAATTTCGGCTTGACGACGTGCACCCCATTCCTCGGTACTAACTACTTTAGCAAAGAAATCACAAGCAGCAGTGAATACAGAAAAACACTGACACATATGCAAGGTGGTGGTAATGGTGTAAGGGTGAAAAAAAACATGAGTGTGTGTGTAGGCGTAGGTGTCATAGGAAAAAAAAAAAAAAGTATCACGCGACACTCACTTACCACATCTCACTGACTGCCCCTCCTGCCAAAACGAAGGGCATTCAAGGAACAACCATTAACGATGAAGAAGAAAGGCCATCACGCGATGTAGCTAATAGTAGTTGTTGCGATAGAAGCGTTCAAAAACACGGTCTCCATAATCCTGAATGGACTTTTCCAAAACATGACGGAGCAGCGCTGTTCTTGTCTCCATCGCCGTCTTTGACGTGCCTGGACTATTCGTTTGCATGTGCATCATTGACCCAGGCGCATTACCACTGTCTGTTGCAACGGTCTGAAGCCGGGCATTATCACTCGTCATCCATTTAGCGGGTGACGTAAAATCATCGTAGTGCTTCTCACGCTTGTGTTGTGCCACCTTGAGCTTCTCCACTTCCACAAGATTGCGGTACCCTTCCAGCGCGTAAGGTTCCGCCAAGAGCACCGCATAGCGCATCTCAAAAATGGATGCACTCGGTTGTAACAGGGACTCCTTAAAGCGCATGTACTCTTCCACGCTGTACTCCGGCTCAAACCAATACGCTTGCCGAAACAAATGAATGTGTTGCCCATAGTGCACCATCTTGCGGAGTACATTGCTCACTTAGAGAATCTGCAACACGTTCCACATGAAACCCAAAGCGATTGCGTATGCCAGTTCGAAGATCTAGATAGCAAGCTGCTGCTCCTGTTCCGATATTTGGAACACCCTCCTTGGAAGGATGCAGGATGTGAAAAACCTGAAGGCTATAACCCCCGTAGGGCAACAAAATAATACACTGAACAGTGAGGTCCAAGGAGTTCATCATCTCTTTGCAGTTCGTTCCATCCTCAGTAGTCCAATGAGTCAAAAAAATTTTTACAAGTTCACCTTTTGGCACATCCAACGGTATCTCTTCTGCGGACAAAGTTAACTCATGGATTGCGTCAAGCACATCATCACTGTGTGTGGCATCAAAAGATGGAAGAGCAAAGCTCACCAAACAAAATGTCTCCGGTGCGTAGGCCTCAAAGCCAACCAATCCAAAACTTCCAAAATCTGCCTTAAACCCCTTGCGCTTCACAATATTATTTACAGCCACATTGATGTCAAGGTCTGCATCTAACATTGTTGCAGCTGCCTCCGCTGAGCTCACACCAAATTGTCCGCAAAGGTGTCTCAACGTGGAAGGGTTGACACAACGCATCGGACGACACCCCGCAGGAAACAACTCCCCAAGAGCTCCAGCATACACATCTCGTGGAATCGGCCTGTAAAATGCAACACGATTGCGCATAATCCCAAAGGAATCACCTGGCACATTCACATCATCATCGATATTCTCACTGGGCGACCGATCTCTGGATCGCAATTCGGTCAAGAGCTCTCGTGGTGGTAGTTCCTGCTCCAAGTGACGCCGCTCCGCCTCTGCCAGTGCTTCTTCTGCAGTGTGGAAATGAACCCCGGCAACTGAGCGGCGTAAAGCGAGGGGTGTGCAATCCGACGAATTGCCATCGTCACGGCCAGTTCGTATTCACCCTTTTCTTCCACCACTTGTCGGGACCGTGAGACGCAAGAGGGGTAGTGCAACGTGCCAAAAAACGGCAGTCCCACTCCTCCCGCTCCCCGCTTCCTTACTAGGGCACAAGGAAAAGAAGGGAAAAAAAGAAGAAAAAACACCAAGTACAGTATTAAGTCGTAAAGGAAAAAAACCCACTTTGGATGTGTGCGGACACGTACTGCAGCTCTTCGCACTCAGTGTGCAATCCAACAAGACCACAGAGTCCATGCACATCGTCAGCATCACACTCTTTCTGCCAGCCTCCCTCTCTTTCTCTCTCCATCGTTTTTGTTTCTTATCCCTGTCTTTTGGCAACACAGTGCCTTGTTGTTGTTCTTGTTTTGCATGCACACAGACACACACAAAACCGAAACAAAAACAAAAACAAAAACGACACTAACGCGAGGTATTGGCGTTTTTCTTACCCCTCCTCCCCACCGCTTCTCTCCAATGTTGCCGCATCGATAAGTTCGTTATACAGTTAAAAACCCTTTATGCAGCACAGTGATTGTTGACTCGTCAATATATACTTCATTTGTGGACTCATTCCGCAGAAGCTCAAACGCAACGACGCCACAGTTACGCAGCTTACTCGTCTTTGAAATATGGCGAGACGACGGAGGCAAAAAACGACGGAAAAAGCAGCGGAAAAAAACGCTATGCCCCACCACGATGACCTCCTTCAGCCCCGCGTTGCCGGGTGCTGAGGACGTGGCTGGAAGGTACGAGTCAGCCTGAGACCCACCGAAGAGGTGGCGAACAAACTCGTCAATTCGGCCATAGACATTAACGGCTGCTGTTTTGTTCCCGGCATTCAGATGCGCATCAAAGTAGGTCCCCATCTCATCCGGAGAAACCATCTTGGCCATTTTAAAGGGAACTAGTTTACCACGCTCCGTGGAAAGCGTCTGTGCATCAATATTGCGGGAACACTCTTGCAGTGAGGAGTCCACCAAAATTCTCTCTCGTGTCGAAGAGATACGTGGTTTCATAGCCACGAGTGCGGTTTCCATCGCCCGGCGCAAGTTGCTACAGACCACAAGTGACGTATTTGCATCAAATGATATCTTGCCATTAGCCGTCCGTATGAAGCGGGCCAACTCCTCTGCCTCCAAGTTTCCTTTGGAACTAAGCGGGGAATCAATGATGACAGAATCAAATGGATTCATGAAAAGATATATTGCTTCAAAAACAATCGCCTTCACTACGCGTATAGGCCAAGTCGTTCCAAAGGAGTTAAATAAGGAATTCCAAACAGATTGTCCATGACGAATAAACACTACTCGAATGATACGCACTGAGCCTTCTGTGGCGGGTGCATTCATTCGCATGTAGTTACTCCCGGTAAACGACTTTGGCAGATCATCTGAGACCAGCATAAACTGCACACCACTAGCGTAGGAGGCGAGTTTCATACGAAAAGCCTGGGCAGCTGGTGCCACCGCGATTGCCACGGCAATCAGCAGGGCAACTACCATCAACAGAAACATTCTTACTTTATTCCCTCTAATCCCTCACCACCACCTTTCTTTTGTTTTTCCTTCAAGCAACAAATGTAGAAGCAAGTGTGTGTGGAAGACGGAGGCATACGGCAATGGTACGTCTCCAGCAAAAACAAAATATTTAAAAAGCAAAAAAGGGGGGAAAAAAAGAGAAGGAGAGGAGGGAGAACTACACAACAGCAGCAACGTACACCACATATTATTAGAAGATTCGTATCAAATCCATTTTTTCTCAAAATATTACCTCTCCACTTCTCACAAGAGTGCAAACCAGAGAGAATGAGAAAAATAAAAACAACACAGACACACATGTACACGCACAAAAAGACTAAATTCATATATGTATATATATTTTTCAAATGACAAATTTCATGCCTGCATCATCCAGATCAAAAGCTATGTTGGAGGTTCCATATATCACCTTGCAAATCGTTGCAGCCGCAACTGTAAGATCATATTCACATATGGATGGTTCTTTCAGTGTTACAAGAGGATTATGAGCATTCTCATTGCACACAAAATGTAATAAGGAAGTGCGCCGAGAACCCGTTTCACACGGAGATCCGTTAGGATACAATACATCTACTTGTATCTCACGCCCACCCTTACGCTCCTTGGCGCACGAATACAACGAATTTTCCGCATTAAGGGTCAACCCAGCATCCCGTAGTCGGCCGGGCACGGTTTGGGGTCCATCAATGTACTGCAGAATCCGCGATCCCACCTTATCATTGAGGTGCCACTGGTGCTGCACACCAAGAATGTGCTCCTCTATTATCACTTCTTTAACCTCGCGGTACTGCCGCACCCACCGGCCCGGGCACAACTCGTATCTCCAGTAGCCTATATGCCACCGGATGCATTCTGACGGGGTTTGTTTCGTGCTCTCCGGGGAGCTGAGGTCAACAAAAAGCTTAAGCTCACTCTCACGCAACTGTCTCGCCAATGCGCACTCCTCGGCGGACACACAAGCAAAGAGCACAGATGCAGCAAATGCAACGCGCAGAAAGCCTTCCAGCGGCATGCTGCGCTAATTTCTTATTCGGCTTTGTACCCGTCTCTCCTCCCCCTCCCCTGCACGTTTTTTTCCTTGTTCCCCTTGTAGAAAAGGGGAAAAAGTCCTTCCTGTTCACCGTTATGTGCTTCCTCTACACAGCGTGGGGGAGAGGTAGGTTGTGATGGCTGCGGTAACACGGGTACAGCGAAGGTGGAGGAAACAAGCTGACCAAATAATAATAAGGTAGGTGTTCAATATAAAACGACCAACGACTCAGAGTCGCAAGAACCACCCCGCTCCTCGAATTACCTGTTGAGCGGCACTGGTAGAAAAAGCATCAAAACAACAGCAACAATGACAAACAATAGATATATCACAAACCTTTAAAAAAGCTTTTCTCTCATTTCCTCATTTCCCCTCTCCATTGACGTCAAAAAAAACTATAGACAGAATGGTCTGCTCAGCGGTGGGCGTACGTCAGGGCGCATGCCACCTATTACAAAGGACCGCACAGAGCCAATTAGGTGCTCTCAACCCCCTCTTGTCCCCGAGAGGAGCCGTGACATGTAAGAAAACCCAGACTTAGACGTACATCCCCCAAACACTCAACACTGCAAGGCACAGACATGAGCGGAAAAAATATATATCCATATTATTTTCTTACTACTTGCGTGTCTCGCTTTTTCTTCGTCTTATTCTGCGCCGATTTTGACTCCAATTCATTGACTTCCCACCCTCTTTCCGACGCACCCAATGCACTCTGCTAACTTCGCTCAATTGCAAACTTACACCAAAACCCCAACATTGCGCTCATCCATGTTTCTTCACCAACCAACAAGGAGCAAAAAACAAAACAAAAAAAAACACACAATCCCCAAATGCATAAACACCCACATTCATCTATCCATTCCTAGCCGTGAGAAAAATGCAGATGAAAAGTAAAACACAACACTAAAAATAAAAAAAGGGTGCCTCAGCATTTGGATTGAACTGGTTGATATCCAAGCGCACATGTGCCAAAACAAAAAAAAAAAGCACACAAGAGTTATTGAATAGGACCACCTCACCCTGTTTTGATTTCACGCCTTGCGAACGATGATGGTGCTATTTTTACATTTATTTTGCTTTTTTTATTTTTGTTTCATTTTTTTTTCTTTTTTATTTGGAGTGAAAAAAGTTCGTTGTTAACTGAAGCCGATAATGCTGATAGTGGTGTAAAAAAACACACACGGCAGGAAACGTAAAAGCACGTTTGACCCCTAACATGGCCACGCATTCATATACCTCTGCAATATGTGTGTATTAAATGATCATCCTCACCGCCTAGTATACCTCTTTGCAAGGGTATTCAGTAGCTTCTCCGTTGGAACGTAGTGACCGTACGGGGGAACAACTTCTCCAAGTATCAAACAGTCTTCTGCCCAGTTGAGTTGTGCCAACGTAAGCCCAGGGAAGTCCTTCTTAATGTGCGCTGCTTCCACCATGACGTCGCACTTCTTCTCACTATGGTCGTACAACACGTGTGTCACGTCTGTGCGTAGGATTTTGTCAAGCCTTCCTGCTGACAAGGGGACAATTTTGGCTCCACAAATCTTAAGTGCTCGGGCCACCAGTGGGTTAGACTCCAGTGATGGGGTAAGGACAAACTTCATACCACCAAACAGAAAATTGTCGACACAGTTTTTTCTTTGTTCACAGTCAAGAATCTCAATATTAGCCACCCGCTTGCGCGGTTCACCAGCCTCTTCATAATTTGCTTCATCATCCTCTGCAGTTGCCTTACCATTTTGCGTGTTGCAAACGGCCCGGAAAACGTTAACATTGGTATATTGCAGTTTTGGGATCTTAAGTGTGGGTGGAAGCTCTGCATTTGTGTCAACCACCTTATTTGTTCTAGTACCATCGGTTGCCTTCTGCTTATATGAAAATGATGTTGATATGGCGTACTCCTCCATGTTGATGAGATAGTAAGGGTGTTGATGGTGAGGAAGCGCAGGTCCGTTGCCTGTGGGTTGCGCCACAGCTGGAATAGAGATTAGACGATATAGCGCAGCGTGAATCTGACGCGACTGCAGCAGGCAGTCTAGCATCCAGGTGATGGGGACTGCAGGGATATTCTTGTTTTCCCCCTCCACACATCTCCGCACCTTGATACTACGCTCGTACCCAGGGCGGTATATCAACAAGTTCACTTGGGTGGTATCAAAGTCCGCCATGCATATCGCCCCATGACGTTCAGCCATACGCCACTCCACTGAATGACTTGGATGTTTAATGGCGCGTGGAATAACTCCGTTAAAGTGAATTTTGTACCCAGCAAAAATCTGAGGCACACCATAACGATCCATTGGCCGAGAACGCAGACAGACTCGGCAGTAGGTATTGTCCCGAGGAATCTCCACTGAGCAATCAGGGCAGACCCAAGCCTCTCGGTGTGTCGTCTCACCAAGAGGGTCAACCACACTCGACATAGTCGTAAATAATACTCACAATGAATACGGGGTAACGCAGACTGTGAAGTCTTCTACTATCTAGATACGGTTTCCCCTGATTTCTCCTTGCCAGACTGCTCTCAAGAGTAAGAGTCACACAGACAGAGCGGCAAACAGCAATGGAGAGCACGGCATTTTGCACGAAGTGTGTTTCTATATATGTACATATATATGACAGTCACATACGCAAAAGAATAAGAATAAAAATAAGATGCGATTCAGACGCTGGCAAATACATTTTATTTCACAATAAAAAAAACAAAAAAACTATTCTCCTCCAGTGTTCCCCACAATAGCAAAACAACAAGAGGCAATAATAGAACATCACGTAACACCATTCGCCAGTGTGTGTGCAAGTACATTTTTATATATAAATGTGCATGTAAACACGCTAGATGATGTGTCGGACACCGGTATTGGGAGGCGTTAAATTGGGTAATGGACGAGCATTCCGCAGCGGCACATATGACTCCATCGCATGCTTCATCACATTTAACGGCATAGGGCGCCATCGGAGGAGTCGCTGCACTGTTGCCCGCTCAGACGTCAGAAATGCTGGATCAGGGGGTGTGGGAAGATGCCGCTCGTAGCGTAGCACCTCCGCACGATTGCAGCGTTCTGCCTCCTCTTGCAATTGCTGCCTATGCATGGCCACCTCCGTCAGGTTGTCCACGAGCGATCTTTGCTGTCGACGCAGCGCGTCCACCTTTACCCGTGAGACCCGAAGCTCTTCCTCTCTCGTTTCAATTTCACGGCGCATGACTTCTACTGCCTGATCGTGCGTCGATAAAATGACCTTCTCAGGTCCAACGTCAAAATTCGTCTCGTTGATTTCCTCTTCCTGAGCCGTTGTTAGCATGCAACGCTTGATCGGGCGTCCAGAGCACAACTCAAGGATATCCATCTCAGTGTGGTAGGTCTCGAAGCGGAAGGCCACACGGATATCCGAGAGATGTGTTCGCAGGGAATCATTTCCTAGGGAGGAACTCATGTACCATTGACACCCAATAGCGTCACGCTTGAACACGTAGTCAAAGCCAGACTGCAGCACCGAATTCCGTGCAATCTCGCAGAGGTCATTGGGAGAAAGACCCCACACACGGGCTGCAACGCTGTACTCCTCAATGAGGGGTTCTTGTGTCTGGTGAAACATCAGTGGATCATCGGTACTCAGTGAGACGTTTAGACCGCGACGGAAAAATTCCGGAAACGGATTCTTCAAAAAACGCAAAAACAGAGCATTGTTGCTCAGCGGGGATACATGCAAACCAATCTGCGAGAGATAAAACAAATACTGCATTGGAGGATCATCCCGAAGGTTGATGCCGTGGCAAATACTGTTTGCGCAAAGGAAGGCACCATAAAGGTGTTCCGCTGACCCTGATTCACCACAGTGAGGACGCAACGCAAACGTTGAAAATCCGCGTGATGCTCGAAATTCATTGAGTGTACGAATGTTGGCGTACAAGTAGTACAAATAATAGTTGTACGGAGGATTTTCCACTGATGTCCACGCCCACGGCGACACAGGCAAAAAGGGTAAATCCAGCGTTGCCTCATTGTCGACCGAGTCAAATCCACTCATGTGGTTTAAAAAATGATGGACCAGAGGATGCTCCGAAGGGTGTAAGGAGGCTTCCCAGAGCGGTTGGAAAATGTTTTGCAAGTACTGACCAAAACTCCCAATCAGATTCTGTGCACGAAACACCTTATACACGCGAGGTACCTGAATGACCCACTTATTATGCTTAGATGACATACCATGCGTGGAAAACCATAGTGCAAGATTGTCCCATTCTTTGATATTTATACCATAGATGGAAACACGATTTTCAGCGTATGTATGGCGATCTCTTGAATACTGTGCAAACACGTCCTGAATCAGCTCTGCAAAGTAGCGTCCCTTCATAAAATTGTCTGTCTTAAGCAGCAAGGACCGGAGTTCGGGATTCTCCATTGGATTGTATTTATTGTTAAAATTGTCAAAGCGCTCAAACAGGGTGTGATCTGCCTGCACATTCAACTGATCCACAGTCAAATTTTTGGTAATACCGTTCTTCTCCAAGAAGTGTCCAAGGGTGTGAATCACATCTCCCTTCTTCACGGCAATGTCGTCCCCGCTATACATGTATTTCTTCACCACAAAACTCAATAACTGTCGTGCCGTCATGCCAGCTGCCATGTGAATGTGGGTGTCAACCTTCACCGCTTGATAAATATCACGGTTAGAAGAAACACGGTCTTCGGTCGTTCCCGCCTCGTTGGCGTGATTCAAGGCAAGATGTAGGCTAAACCGGTGTTCCAAGTTTTCAAGTCGTTTTTGTGAAAAATCCTTTACCTCAGACGACGCACAAATTTCTTGCAATTCCTTCAAATCGTTGCGGAATGCCTCCACGGTTGGAAGCTGTCGTGGCCATGCGTGCACAACGTTTTTGGGAAACGAAATAAAGACAGCATCATTGGCAGCATACGTCCAATCGTCTTCGTTAAAGCTGTCGGTCTTTCGCTGAAAGTCAGCCTCCACAGAACGCTGCTGTGTCACCTCCCACGGATTGGGGGGCTCCCAAATGTACTTGTATCGCAAATCAAGCGCGCGGGCGATGGCAGATGCGGCGCTGACAGCCCACTTGACTTCCTTGTGCGGGCCGTTGAGAACCGTGCGGGGAAACCTAACCCGTGTATCTAGCACGGTGTGGTATTCCACCTCCTTCACATTGCTAATGTAATGCCAACAACTCGACCCGAACGCCTCGCGCGGAAGGCTTCGGTTAATGTATAAATCCTTAAGCATGTCACGCTCTAAATTCCACGACTCCAGACGGAATGCGAGACGCACATTTGTTACTTGACTGAACTCAAATGCATTCCCCTCAACTCCTCGATTAAAGTCTTTCCCCAGCCACATCTTCTTGGTTTCCTGCGGAAAAGAGGATATCATCACACTATTTCGAGCCAGTTCTGTGACGTCAAGAAAGCTCATACAAAAGATCTTCATGGCCGTTCCGTACTCTTCAAACAGTGGGGAGGAGCTGTGATGGTACAGAAGGGGTGCTTCGGTGGCGATGGTTACATTCAAACATCGATGCAAAAAATTTGGTAAAGGATGTTTTTGGTAGTGCACGATCCCCTGAATGTGGTCATGTAAAGGGCTTACAGTAAGACCAACACCATGTAACCCACACAAGTATTGCAAAACTGGATAATCCATGATTCCTGTAGCCCGCGTGATGACATCACCCAGTAGGTACCCCGCAAGAAGGCCCTCCATTGAATTTCGATTCCCGCCACTGCAACGCAATTGAAAAGTGTTTAGGCCTTGACGCTTTCGTAAGCTGTTCAAAACCGTTAAATTAGCATGCATGTAATAAAAGTAGTACAATTCATTGAGTTTTGTACCGTACGGTACCTCACTAGGGACGGGAGCTTTCTCATCAAAGTCTGCTTGCAAGGTATTTGCCGGCGTTCTAATCACAAATCCGCCAACTTGTTTAAGAAACCAAGCAAGTGGAGCATACTTCGTCACGGTAGGATTCAGAGTCGCTTTAAACAACGGCAAAAAGAGGAAATCAAGTTGATCCTGAATATTCTTGCAGTACACTGGATAATTCACTTCCGACGGGGGATTATGCATAAAGCAAAGCTGCAAAATCCACATGTTGCGTCTGAAGGGACCAACGTTGTGCTTATTCAAAACTGTGGCAATGTCTAGCAACTCGTTAGAGTACGTAGCATACAATGGAATAGAATACTCTGTTGCCTGGACGTACCGTGGTTGCTGTTCAGCGCGTTGAAGCCGCTTTTGTATAAAACGTGAGGCACAAGATCCGCGTAGATGAAGAAAACAATATCGCAGCTCAGTGCTAAGTGAAGCTGAATCAAGGGAAAAATCAGCGTTTTCGATGCTACCGGGTCTCGGTTGCCATCCCAGCCCCTCCACGGTTAGAAGCGATGGATCACGCACCCCATTTGCCTCAAATAATTCGCGAAGTGTCGAGTTGACGCCATTGCGGAGACGCAGCGGAGCATCAGGGTAACGACTGTACCAATCCAGGATAAAGTCCAGAAGCTCCTGCGCATCTGTAGAGCGTGAAAGCAACACCGAGTTGTCCACTTTGGTGGCTTTGGAGAAAACCCCTCCTGCCCTTCGAAAAGTATGCTTTTCCTCAATGTCAGCGTTAAGAAGGAAGAACATTCTGGATCGTTCTTGCATAATGTTGAGTCGATGTGAACAAGCCCTAATGCAGTTGGTGTTCCCAACGGTTAGTCGCAGATGCTGAACATCCGACGCAAAGGTGGACCACGACTGCATTGAGTACATGGGTGAAACATTGTGGTTGGAGACCTTGTAGACGCCATTCTCCTGTGAAATTCTGATACGAGAAGACAGCGGGAGCATCTGGACACGTTCGTTTATTTTCTTGTAGCGGGGTCGCATACGCAAGGCGGCCTCAATGCGTTCGTGTACTTTACGCATGTCCACCCCACCGTCATCGCCGTCTATAACAACCTTAAACATATGGGCTTCCTGCAGCTGACACTTTAGAAATGCGGCGTTTCCATGACTGATGGTAATTTTGTGCCGCGATAACCGCTGAGTCCTTTCCGCGGGCTGCCGCGGAAGGTTGTCCCCCTCACCAGACTCGCTGCCAGAATCGTGAGGAGCACTCATTGCCTCTGCCGCGCGTGCTCTGTAGTAGTTTCGTGTGTGTGAGGTATATGCTTTCCGCCTTGGCTGCTAGCGTATTGACGGCTTCGCCTTCTTCTGTCCTCACCCCACACCCTTCCCTCTTCGGGCGGAACAAATTGACTATGCAGCGTAAGTGCAAGAAAAAACAGAAAAAAAAAGTGAGAGAAACGATTATGACGAGGATGAGAACAATAAGCCACCCCTCCTCGAAAAAAAAGTAAAAAAAAAAATCACGCGCAGACACTCACAACGGGAATAAAGAGCGAGAGAGAGAGAGAGAGAGAGACCCATCAACTCGGATGCATAGATACGGATGGATACGTACTGAATGAAACGCATGAGAAATGCTAAAAATAAAAAAGAGTTAGTCGCCCCACAGTCACAGACAAAAAACACACCAGTGTGAGGCACAAAAAATGTCTTTCTACAAGATGACTGACGAGACAGGGCATCTCAGTTATAAGTAACTGCACGCAAAACTACTATAGTTGGCTGAGTTCGTACCGCGAACCTTCGCTACGTGGGTTACAGCTCCAAAAGCGTAGAAGCATCACGAAAAGAAATGTTCCATGCAATGACCATAAAATGGATGAAATTAAGCACATAATGAAGGCAGGAACTCGTGATGTTATTTCAAACGTTATGATCCACCCACACCCACCGAAGCCATATGCGCCAACTGCCATCCATACGTCAAAGGTCAAACCAAAAAAAAGTCCTAAGTACGCCAGCAGTCTCCTAGGCTGCGAGTTATCCGTGGTCGCACAGTAAGCATTGTAGTACCACAAAAAGAATGCACCAGGAATACCTAGGAGGTACACAAATGAAAGTGCAAAGTGTGTAGAGCTTCCTCCCAATAAAAAGTTTACAAAGGCGCAGACAATGTTATAAACAATCATCGCAATTAAGCTCATGTACAATCCACAAAGAATATACATAAAACGCTGTAACGGCACAGGTACCTGCTCTTTAATGTTGTGGTATATCTGTGGCTTGATGCACAAAAACTTTGGAGGAAAATTGGGTGGCGGCCCAAATTCCACTGCAATATTACGCTGCCGCCTATTTATGGCTTCGCGACGCGCCTCCAACTCTTTTTCCTTTGCCAACACCATTTCCATTGTGAGATCAGGCGGTGTTGAATACAAGTTTGGTTGGTGCATGGCTTTTTACTTATTCTCTACTTGATTTTGTGCACTTGGCTTGGAATTAATAATGCACCCCTTACCCTTCCTTAGTTTAAAGAAGTCAAGGCAAAACATCCGCGAGAGGGACTTCAGCACCGCCACCAGAATGAAAATCATCACCATCAATGCGGTTGTTGTCGCCAGAGGATCAGTCCAACAACACCTTACCGGCAAAGCAAAAAACAACAAAAAAAAACACCTCAAAGGTACAAACCCATTATCGCCGTCATCATCCCCACAAGACTATAAAACGTCGCGCCTGACACCCCGCGCCAAGGAGAACACACCGCGCAGCCACCAATGCACGTAACCACGAACTAGAGGTGTACCTCCTCATGACAGTGTCATTCACAGCACGCTGCAAGAAGTGCGATAAGAAGAGTAATCGCCTTCCACGGTGAGGGAGACACTTTCGCAGGTGATGTCAAGTTCATCACCAACGTCATTGTACGCATCAGATGGTGAAAATAGCATGAGCCATCATCTTAATCCCGGTGCCCACTAGTAGAGGAAGAAGAGCATGCATCAATGGATAACCAAGCTAGGCATCCAAAAGGCAGAGTACCCAGCGTTGCCCGCGCAGAACGGCAGGTCGATAAAGCGTCCAACGCTGCACACAACACCCAAATCGCATTGAATGGTGCAATATCAGTCATATTTGTTCATGTAGGTGGTGATGAGGCATTTGTCACCTGTCTCCATCCCGTCGTTCTTCCCAGTTTTTGATATGGTCGCATAATTCACGCAAATGGGCGTACTGTTCGATGATTCACCCCCATTTACCACCGCAAGTCCCATAACGCTCCGGCCACACCGTGGCCGCAACGCGGCATACGGCATGGGTATCGTTTTTCATTCAAAGCCTTCGCCTAGTAACACAAGAACAGCCTCTGTGTGGCCAGAGTCCTCCATAACCCCCAGAATACACGTGGATGGTAGTGTTGTAAGGAACCTCTCGACCAGATCGCCAAACGTGAGACTTAGCATCGGTCTCTCCCTTACCCCTTAAAATTTATGTGTCTCAAAGACGCACATGGGCGTCGACCAAAAGTGGAATAAGAACAAATTTAGGGCAAGCGAACACAACCTCGGACAGAAGAAGAGCCCAAAGCTGTTATACATGCATGCATCACAACTTCAAGTCATTGCAACACTTTCCATTTCTTCCTTCGTTTTTGCCTTTCCTCGCACCCTCTCCTGCTTTTAGGAGGCTCGTCGAATACACTCCTCAACAAATTCCATCGTAGCATAGATGTGCGAATAGCATCAAAATATTTAAAAAAGGCTCACACAAAGGTATGAAGGAGTACAAAGAGGAAAAGAAAGAGAGAGAGAGAGAGAGAGAAACAGCAAATAATAGTGGTAATAAATACTATAATAATAATAACAGTAATAATAGTGGTAGTGGGAGTAAGTTAAAGAGTTGAAATAGCCCACATAAAAACACCAACGACAAATGAAAACACACATACCTTTAAGAGAACATTTTCTTCAATCCCGACGCTAGTTTTGCGGTGCGAGTCCTCTCCGCTTCCTTCGCCTGCTGTAGCTTCGTCAAAATTGCATTGTTTTCAGAGTCCAACTTATGCGCCTTTGTAAAGTCTTCCACTGCGGATTCAGAATCTCCCGCACTGAGGCAGGCAACACCGCGTCGAAAGAGCGCCTTGGAGTTGGATTTGTCCAGCTCAAGAGCCTTCGATGCAGCACTCCGTGCCTCTGACCACTGACCCAACTTCAGTGCGCATTCAGCCGTGTTGTTGTAACAGGCAACCAGTTTTTCATTCACCGCCAAATCGTTTGCAGTGGTTTTGTTAACAGTCTTCACGTAGCGAGTTGATTTTTCATACTTCTGTATGGCGTTTCCAAAATCAGCTGCCTTAAATAAATTGTTCCCGATCTGCCGTATCGCCTCCCCCGCGTTAAGAAGCTCAGCATCGGTCAATGGCGACGTGCAATCCTCCGGATAATCTGGAAAGGTGTCACCCCCAATCTGCGGCTCAGGCTCTGGAAGCGTGTCCGTCACCCCACAGTCAACAATCACACATGGCTTCACAGGCTTGTCGTTCGCGCCCGTCTCGGTGTGCTCCAGTGCCCGCACCGTATTCATGCCACGAACCACCTTACCAAACACAACATGCCGACCAGTAAGGTGGTGTGCAGGATTCACAGTAATGAAAAACTGTGACCCGTTGGTGTTTGGTCCCGCATTCGCCATTGCAAGCAAACCGGCCTTGTCACATGGCACATCAAAGTTCTCATCATCAAAGCGTTCGCCATAGATGGACACACCACCTGTTCCGTTATGCTTTGTAAAATCGCCTCCCTGAATCATGAAACCAGCAATAATCCGATGAAACGTACTGCCCTTGTATGTCATTGGGATTTGCGTCTCCTCTGTCACTTTGCCTTCATTGCCGGTGCAGAGCTCCCGAAAATTGGCACATGTCTTCGGGGTAACGTCGTCAAACAGCTCCAACAGAATCTTCTCCTTCAGCGGCTTACCACCAATCGAGACCTGAAGCCAACACAATTTTCCCATCTTTTTCCTCCCAACAGATTCCAAAAATAAAAAGGGGTAAGGGATGGAGCTTTTTGGTGATCCTCTCTGTTGCTTTCTTCCTACTATTTGTAGTTATTTGCTTTGAAATGTAAAGCAAGAGATCCCGTCATCCAACAACAAGAGAAACATGAGAAGGAAAATAAATAAGAAAAAAATGAAAAAAAGAGAAATAACCCTCATAAACAAAACCCGCAAGAAACACGCGTATCTTTCTTTCTATTTTATCATTTCATGTGCGCCCCGGCATCTATCAGATACTTATGCGTGTGTATATGTGCTGTGTGTATGCACCTCCTTCCGTCAATAAAAAGGATTACAGACATTGATATACACTAGATATATATATAACAAAAACAAACAAAAAAGGTACAATGATTGGTGCAAAAATAATAAGGGCGGCCGTTCTATCGCATGGCTCCCTCCCCCTGCCCTACACTCCCCCTCCTTTTGTTGTTGCCGGATTCTGAACATAAGGTTCTTTTCAATTCCTTATTTTTTTTTCTTTGCGCACGTCTCACGTTCATTTTTATTGTTGCATTTAATATATATATATATATATATATTTATTTTCTTATATTTTGTGTGCGTGTCTGTGGGAAAGAAGCAAAGGGAGCAATCGCCGCGGCGCCACTTCTGCAGTACCTCCAAAGAAGGAGAATACAAACAACCGTTTAAAAAAAGGGGAGGGGGCAAAAGGCCACGCACACGCACACTGACCAAAACAAATCAAGTTGCGGGGTGCCTCCCATCTAGACATTGAACTTTTGCATGACAAAAAAAGAGATGGAGACCAGAAGCGCGGCGGCAAGCTCGTAGCCGCAGTATGTGAACAACAGCGGCAAAGGGCGTTGACACGAAAAGAATTGGTGCTGATTAATGCATGCAAGCACTGCAACCACCACACCAGCCTGCTGATAGTCGTACAGTCCTTTGCCGTTGCAAAGCGTAAAAACGGTGTACACCGCAACGGCCCGGACGATACCGGCAACAAATGTAGCAAAGGCGCAAAAGGGAGGGGAATAGCGGTGTACTATGTGCCCAACTTTCCGCACGCCCTTGTCGGCGGCAAGATAATAGTCCGAAATCGTCTTGACGATGAGACCAAACCAAACCATGGCAAAGAGCTGTTGCACGAGGGCAGCAGCAAAAAGCACCCAAAGATCCATCCCCATAATTGTCTCACATAACAAAGTGCAGAGACTCATTGGTGCAGTATAAATTACGTGCAAACAGTATATGAGGCAGACGACAACAAAAACAACGGCCCCTTCCTTGTCTTCAGCAGATCCTTTTGCATGTATGTTTGTTGTGTAGAGAAAAGAAGATAGCAGCAGCAACAACAAAAATAATGCCCCAGTAAGGTGCAGGGCCAGTTGACGGCACGGATCCCCACTGGGGGAACCCTGTAAGAAACAAGGAAAAGAATGACAAAAAAAGATGTCACTATTCTGTCTTGGACACCGCCTCATCCATCCCAACAGGAATATACGGAAAACTAACTTTCATACATGGTAGAAAGACACATCGTACGCCCCAGCAAAGCTTTCTTTGGGGACTCGTTTTTTATGTGGTTGTTGTTGTTAGTTTTTCCTCCTTCCACCTTTTTTTTGTTTTGTTTTTGTTTTTGTTTGAGGGGGATGGGGATGGGGGATGGGGGAGGGATCCCAACTTACATCCCGCTACTGGCTCCCAGCTGATGCAAAAAACACCACCAGAGACAAAAGCCGCTTCGCGTAGCTGCCGTCAAGATCAACCCACAGAAGTAGTTTGTGCGCCTCCCCCTCACGCAGTGCATGAGAAGACGCTGCATCGTAATACAACTTACCATTTGGCATACAGTCGCGACTAATGAAATCCTCGTTCAAGTACAAAAACACTTCACTGAGTCGACCGGTGGCAACCCCTTTCAAGGTTTCATCCAACAACTCCTTCGAGACAGGCTGTCTCAACCGCACCAACACGTCCACGGCGCATCCTCTTGTCACGGGGACCTGAAACGCACTTCCAGAGATGCGTCCCACAAGAGCTGGAAAAACCTTATCCATGGTCTTTTCACCGGTGTGGATGTAGGGAACAATATCACCAATGTCCACTCTTGTTTGACGCCAATCTTGCGGATTTTTGGACCTTCCTGCGGTAATCTCCGCTGGCCGCAGACCGTGAATGACGGTGTAGGAGAACTCCTCTATACCGTATTGATCATGCAAAAAACGAATGAGAGGAGCAAGTGCAACTGCAACGGGGAGACCGGCGCAAACAACAGGACATACCTTGAAATCGGCCTCATTTGCACCAAGAATAAGCACTGGGGCGTCCGCACTCTGCCCCGCAATAATGACGCCTTTAGCACCCCCCGTGACATGTCCCCAACACCGCTCTCGCGTGAAGCTTAGCCCTGTGCACTCAACCACGTAATGCACACCAGCATCCTGCCATGCAATGTCCACGAGATCATGTTTCTGCGACACACGGATTTTATGGGAGCCCTGAATGCAAATGAACTCCCCAACGACCACTACCGAAGCCCTGTCCTCTGCAGAAAGAGGACTTTCGCGCTGCAGTAAGTATGCGATGTAGGCAATACTCATAGAAGCATCGTTAATCGCCACCACTTTCACTGTGGGTTCCGTGAACGAGGAAAAGAGAACTGCCTTCCCAATAGACCCAAAGCCGTTGATGCCTACGCAAACCGGCATAACAGCATCACACATTTCGTTCCACTCTTCCTCACTGGAATATATATATATATATATCTACTTTCCAGAGTAACCATCCGTACAACAATAAAAATGCAAAGAAAAAGAACGAAGAGAAAAACGGGAAAAATAAATAAAAGCAATAAAAAGGAGAGAAGCGCCCCGCAAAAGGCAATATATATATATATATATATATATATATATATATATACTCTCGTCGGTCGGTCGTCGTCGT